GGCTGGTGTACAGGCCCAGCCTGGCCCAGGGACCGTGGTCACCACTGTGCCTCCTGGACCCCAGTGTCTCTTTTATTTCTTTTCTGTTGTTTAGGTTTCTTTAAAAAAATATTTTTATTGATTGGAGTGAAACACCGATGAGAATCATTGATCAGCTGCCTCCTGCATGCCCCACACTGGGGATCTAGCCCACAACCTGGGCATGTGCCCTGACTGGGAATCGAACTGTGACTTCCTGGTTCCTAGGTTGACGCTCAACCACTGAGCCACGCTGGCCGAGCTGCTTTTGTTTAGTTTTTATTGAAAACAATACGTACAAGAAAGTGCAAGGGCTTTACATGTACAGCTCCACGACCTTTCCAACTCGCGGCAGCCAGCCAGCCAGCGCCCGGGCCACCTCCAGCCGCCCCTCCTCCGCAGCACCAACCCAGGCACCGAGGCAACGACCCTGACCGCCCACAGCGTCCTGGTCTTCAGGTTCACAGACATGGGCTTGCGCGTCCTCCGGCTGCCTTGGCGCTCTTGTGTCTGCTGTGCACTGAGTATTCCACTGCACGGATGGCGGCACCCCCGTGGATGGCACCTGGGCTGCTCTAGCTGGAGGCTGTTTGTGGCTGGAGGCTATTCCAGCGGGAGGCTGTTCTAGCTGGAGGCTGTTTCAGGTGGAGGCTGTTCCAGCTGGAGGCTGCTCTAGCTGGAGGCTGTTTGTAGCTGGAGGTTGCTCTAGCTGGAGGCTGCTCTAGCTGGAGGCTGTTCTAGCTGAGGCTGTTCTAGTTGGAGGCTGTTTTGGAAGAGGCCAGGGTGAAAGTACCTGCACTGCCACCTGCGCGCCTGGCCATGTCACAGGTACCGCAGTGCCCGCTTTAGTAAACACTCTTGCCTCGGTCATGCCCACCCCACTGCCGCCAGCAGCGTCTGACAGCTCAGCTGCTCCACAGGCCCACACTTGGCACTGGCCGCCTTTATTATTCCCGCCTCCCTGGTGGGCAGCAGGTGGCGTCTCGTTGTGGTTTTCACTTCCGTTTCCCTCCTGATGGGCACTGTGTAGAGCTGGCCATCAAAATGCCAACGAACCTGTGACTCCTTGTGACCTGCCTATTCAGAATGTTTGCTCATTCCCACATGCATTACCTTCCTTACAGAGGTTTCTGGGGTTGCTTCTGGAATCCTCTGCCAGACTTCTCCCACTTTGTGGCGTGACTGTTCACGGCAGTCACTGGACTTAGAGCTCTGAATGGTAATGACATTCCGTTTACTGATGTTTATCCTGGTGGGTGGTGCTTTTTTTTTTTTAATATATTTTAATGATTTTTTTACAGAGATGAAGGGAGAGAGATAGTTAGAAACATCGATGAGAGAGAGAAACATCGATCAGCTGCCCTCTGCACATCTCCCACTGGGGATGTGCCTGCAACCGAGGTACATGCCCTTGACCAGAATCGAACCTGGGACCCTTCAGTCCGCAGGCCAACGCTCTATCCACTGAGCTAAACCGGTTTCGGCTGGGTGGTGCTTTTTGCATCCTAAGGATCTCTGCCCATGCGGACCCAGGACTGTCCCATAGGACTTTGTAACTTTGCTCTCCTAGTTGGGGCACGGCCCATTTGGAGTCCATGTTTACGTATACAGTGAGGTCAACGCTCATTTTTTCCCATTTGTATATTCCAAGCTATTATTCTTAATGAAGTTAGAAACGTCCTTTCGATTATTGATGGTTGTCTCCTCAGGACTTTGTAGTTCACTAGTGCTATTTAGTTTCTGCTGAATAGCATTTCGGTTGTTTTCTTCCTTTTCTGCCACTTTTAAGGGGGGAATTGGAAGAGACGGTACAACTGGGAGGCGATGATGGAGTAACTAAGAACAGTCCTCACCCCACCTGGGGAGCTGGGTGCCCGCGCCTCCTCTGCGAGGCCCTCCAGCACCACCCCGGAGCCAACCTCACAGCTCTGGTCCGAACCCACATGGACCGGACCAGACCGGCAAGGCCGCCCGTGAAAGCCACAGAGGCAAGTCAACTCGTGAGGTTTCAGGAACGAACTGTTACTTTCCAGAATGACTGAGGTGACTTGGTTTCTTCTTGCTCTTTCCTCCAGCCTGGGCTGCCCTGAGTTCCGCTTCCCATCTCCAGCCGGATCATCAAGGCGCCTGACTCTCTGTGCTACTCGGCCCGCCCCCCAACAATTGCTGGCTCCCTTACCAAGGGCGTCCCTGCCAGGAACTAGGCAAACTGTGGGAGTGCTATCATCTCCCTCCCTCCCTGGCTGCTTCTTCAAAGGCCCTTCTTGCCACCTGAAGTTACATTTGCTGATTGTCTACTGGACGGGAAGACAAGCCCCCCGGGTCCTTGCCCCTGGTCACCGCTGTATCAGAACGGCTCACCCAGGGCACGGGGAGGTACTCTGTGCACCTCTGTTTTCACTGGTTTCCAGGCTCTGCCCACCATTCTGGGCAAAGCACTGGAGGCAGATGGCAACACGATGGACATCCCTCTTAATAGACCGAGTCAGGGGGCATTACATGCGACTGGTGATCAATTCGGTTTGTAGCTACCCGATATAATAAAAGGCTAATATGCAAATTGTCCATATGGGTGGGAGTTTAACTGACAGGGAGTGACATGTGTGCTGACCACCAGGGGGCGGCACAGAACATGGCGGGCTTCAGCGACAGGGCAGGCAGCCAAGGGAAGGGAGGCCCAGCCCACAGCCCCTAGGGACCCTAGCTGTGCACAAATTTCGTGCACTGGGCCTCTAGTTCTTTCAATAAAGTTTTATGAAAGTTTAATACAGTGTAAACCACCTAAGCACACTTCCCATTTCTCTGGTGCGGGTGACACTGGAGATGCTTCAGGTCCTGGTTCTGACCAGCCCAGCTCGTCCGCTTCTCTGTGTGCTTCCCATCAGCCCCCCAGCACCTTCTGTGGATGAAAGAATTTCCGTCCTTAAGACTGTTTTCCCCACCTGCTTCCTTTAACCCACTTCTCCAGGAGGATCTAATCTAAAAAACTACCTAAAATAGGTTCATTGCTCCAGTTTTGTGCTGCGTTATCATGACCCACCTGCCTCCACTATCCATGCTATGAATTACCTTAAAAATGCAGGAACGTTTTGCATTGCTTGGGCACGCTTTTAGTTTTACTTTGGGTTACCCACTATTTGTAGCACAGTGTAGGCTGCTCGGCAGGGAAAAGAATCTAAACTCTTAGGAATAGTTATTGCTTTAAGTTATACATTATTTTGAAGAAAAGGCTATCAGATGAAAAACCTAACTGATTTTCTTTAATCATCTCTCAGTGTCAGTGCACATGGGTCCTTGCAGAGGGCACCCTACCAACCAGCCTCCGCAGTCGACAAATCCACAGGCCTCAAGAAGAACCTGGTGCTGAGGAGTGCACTTCACCATCCTTAAACGTACTCTTCCTGTCTGTGTGAACTTCCCATTCATAAACTTAAATAGCCAATCTCGTAAACTTATTTGGGCACAAAGCAACGTTTGGATCCAGACTCTAAAATGCCCTAAGACCTTGGTGAGGCCCCTCAGACAAACATGGCTCTCTCCTGACGAAGTCACTTTTAAAAATGTGAGCATAAGAGCCTGGCCAGTGGGTCTGTAGTGGAGTGTTGACCCAGGAACCAAGAGGTCCCCAGTTTGATTCCTGACCAGGGCACATGCGCGGCTGTGGGCTCAATCCCCAAGGTGGGGAGTGCAGCAGTCGGCACATTGATGTTTCTATCCCTCTCCCTTCCTCTCTCTCTAAAATAAATAAAAACATATTCAAAATGTCAGTATAACACAGGTGTCTTGAGTTTTCAAGTAGAATGCTTCTCCAGCATTGGTGAGAAAGAACTACACACACACCAGTGGACTGCATTTTAAAATGCTCTTTTATTTGACACTCACAGATGTGTAAGGCATGTTCACGAGTCGGAAGTTATGTACAAGGCCCGTCTCTCATTTCCCTGCTGCTTTCTTTCCTCGGTACCTGCTGGTACAAACTGGTCCCTATGTCCCTTCCTGCCTACAGGTCTCGGGCATTAGGAACATGCAGACAAGGTGGCAGGAGAATCTGCTCCAAAACAGGGAATAAGCACCTACAGACCGTCACTGAGACACAAACTCACGGAGCAAGGCAGAGGAGGGCGACAGACCGGCTCATGAACTTGGGATTGTGAGCTTCCAGGGGCACAAAAAACACACAGAAAAATACACTGCTCCTTCCTGTCTGAGAGAAATGGAATGTGTCCAGATTCGTGTTTCTACGTTTACCACTGTCTACATGTCACTAAGGAGAACTAATTTTAACTGCTCCTACTGTAGTTAGTACAGGATGCATGCATTACCTCACACAAACACGGAGCGAGGTAGCAGGGACACCTTGAGGTTGCCAGTTACACAAGGGTCTGTTTTTGGTGGTGGGACCAGGAAGGGGATGGTGCTACCTGCTCCCCACAGTGCCTGCTGCTTAGACACCTGGCACCTGTGTCTAAGCAGGAAGATGCCACAGGAGAAGGTGAGGAGCCACAAAGCCAGCGCCACCTGCGGGTGGGATGAGGGGCACGGAGCCTCAATTTCAGGGGTAAGAGGCTAATACAAGAAAGTGGTTTATAATCAATTTTCAAAACTCAGATGCTATCTTTACACGACGACAAACACACACTTTAGAAATCTGCTTGTGGGAAAGGAAATAATTAGCATCAAAATCACACGATGTTTCACATGAGGAGAGTCTAATCTTTGGGTCTAATTCAGCCAAAATTTTAACATCAACTACATATGATTAAAGCGTGGTTTGCTTAAGCCCATCTTTAGATGCAGAATCTTTGAGGAGGCATGTTGGCGTGTTTTCAGGAACACTGACTCCTGTAAGAATTGGACAGGCCACGCACTCGAGGGCGGCTCTGGGGTGTCATACAGAGCCGTGGTCCCAGCGGCAGCCCAGCGCGTGAGAATGTGGTCACGCCAATTCCATCAGCCCCAGAGGGCTGTTACCCAAGTGGTTAATCAGAGCAGGGAATTACTATCAACTACATTAAAGATTTCCACTTATTGGCACTGTGACACAGTGCAAAGAATCTTCAAATGTCTGCCTTTTATATCAAAGCTGTATACTGTTATTCTTCCAGTTCACCGACCGCTAAATCCCCCTGGGTGGGCCTGACTACCTGGGGCAGCGGCGGCCTCTTCCGGAAGGTGCAGCTACTCTCCTGACGGGAGGTCACGGCCGAGGCAGGCGGGGCAGGTGCGCTGGCCTTTCAGACACTGCTTGAAGCACTGGAGGGAGAAAAGGAAGTCAACAGCGCAGGGGCAGAGTGCTCTGTGCTGCCCTCAGCAGGCAGCACGAACTTCACCACCAGGGAGGGGCCTGGAGCCCAGAGCTCAGGGCCACTGCAGCTGCTCAGGTTGGGAGCGCGGCCCAAGCCCGAGGAAACGCCACCACAGAACCTGCCCCGTGAACTCTGGGCCTCCCCCACCCCAGCTCCAGTCTTGGCGCTTCAGCGGCCCTGACCTCTAGAGCTGGCATTTTCATGTCCCTTGGACTCCCTCATCCAACCACTCACCCCCGCCTCAGCCCCCCGTCTGCCTGGCCCTGCACACCCAGCAGCTGGGTGTGTGACAGGTCTGAGATCCAGGTGTGACGACCTGCCACCCCCCCACCATGGAGCAGGACGGGCGCCAGATGGAAGTCTCCCAACTCCCCCAGTGAGAACCCTGCATTTACCCCCTCCTCAGGTTCATAAGCCCACGTGGCAGAGCCCTGAACTCTTCTAAAACCCAGCATCAGGGGTGCAGGACAAATGCTCACGGCACCCCAAACACCAAAACAGTTACCCACAAATCCCAGGAGGGTACAAGTCAGAATCGGCCAGGACTGGGCACTGGGCCCAGTCAGGTTGAGTGTTTCTCCTCTGAAATGTTGCCCCTGCCTCACGCTCTGCACTGAACTGACAAGCGTGAGTCTGGTTCCGTGTGCAAGAAACCGCCTGTCGGGTAGCTGGCCCTGCGCTCAATGTCCGCGCCTGCCTGGCCGATGGAGCCCCTGTGCCCGGCTCGGAGTGAGGGGCGGACAGGCAGCTCAGGGCACAGCCGGGGCCCAGGGCCTGTCCCCTCCCACAGCACCAGCCTGGAAGCGGACAGTGATGCTACACAGGATACGGGAAGTGCCCTGGAAACATGGGACGCATGGATACCCCGGGAAAAAACCCGTTTGTTTCCAAAATACTTCATAGTCAGGATGCACGCTCTGAGGGTGGCCAGGGAACGCTTACCCCCTTGTGAAACTTGTGCCCACAGCTCAGCGCACGCACATTTTTGGATTTGAACACCTCATGGCATATTTCACAGGAATGTGCACCCAGCGTCTGTGGAAACAAATGTGGCCAAGTAATAAATCACTAACTTCCTTTCACTACATAAACTTCTGACAAGTGTCTTCAAATACTTCTGCCATTAAATTGGCAAATTATTCCCATTGATAGCTAAGCAGACTAATAAAACAACTTGTTTTTATTTAAAAAAATTACTTACTGCCCCACCAGCGTGGCTCAGTGGTTAAGCGTTGACCTGTGAACCAGGAGGTCACAGTTCAATTACTGGTTGGGGCACATACCCGGGTTGTGGGCTAAATCCCCGGTGTGGGGTCTACAGGAGGCAGTCGATCAATGATTCTCGCTCATCATTGATGTTTCCATCTCTCTCTCCCTCTCCCTTCTCTATGATATCAATAAAAATATATTTAAAAATATTTATTTATTCTCATTTTTTAAAAATTAAATTTATTGGGGTGACATTGATAAACATGAACATATAAATTTAGGTGTGGGTAAAACAACTTATTTTTAAATAGCACTTCTTAGGAAAAAACATAAATGTATAAAAGAAAAGTATACTTTTAAAATTCTAATTTTCTCAGAGGAAAAAAATGTTTTATATGGTTAATGGATTTCCTGGTAAGTTTGGAACCAGATGAATATTACAAATTAATCCTGCATCTAATTTTCTAACAGCTGGCGACAGTAACGTAAATTACGACACCTCTACACTAGGGACTACTGTGTGGCCGAGTAAATCTTAATGAAGTTCATGATCCCTGACATAAAAGCTGGTCACAACAGGCCTCTGAGTAGAAGCAGGCATAGAACAGTGAGCCTCATATGACCACCAACTCATTTAAAACAACAACAACAACAGAGAATATGTGTACAGAGATGCCTAGAAAAGAGTCTGCGAAGATGTTAAGTGGTAACAGTGGCTCCTTCTGGTTAAGAGAGATTTAATTTTTCTCTGCTATTTTCTGAAGTTTCTATGAATGTGGATTAATTGTGTAAATAAAAACGAAAACAGACAGCTCACTCGGCACATTCGTGCCATCAAAAAAGCAGAGAGACAGCACCTGCTATTCACGGACGGTCTACAGGACAAGGAATTAGGTCTAGAAATAAGGGAAATGGGGCTAAACCATTGCTCCCATGGCTTAACAATGCTCTCCTAAAAAATAAGAAAACAGCGTCGCACATGCAACACTCACAGGGGCGTCTTCTGTCCTCTGGCCCCGGGCTTTGGGCGATGGTCCAGCAGTCACGGAGGGCGGGCCCTGGGCGGCCCCCATCCCTGAGGCAGTGGGGCTGGGCTCAGCCAGCGGCCTGTCCTGTCCTGGACGTGGCTGCAGAGATAATGCGGGTGGGGAAGGAAGTTCGTACCCATAAGCTTGCGCCCCTTGTCGTCAGGAACCTGCTCACCACCTCTGGTTGGAGCCTGTTTTGTTCCTACAAGTCTCACATCTATACCCAGGAGGACACAGGGGCCTTTTGCTGTATCTGGACGGACACTGACCTTTTGGCTTTGCTGTTCCTCCAGAATGTGTGCCGTCACCTTCTGAACAATTTCATCAATGCTCAGTCCTGACAGCGAGGTCTTGCTTTTGTTTCGTACTTTTCTAATAAAACCAGCAAGCTCGGTGCTGAAGGAGAAGGTGGGGAGAAATGAGAGCAGAACGTCAAAGCTTTCTACTGCTGAGAAGTATTATGTGCAAAAAAGTATTATGTGCCAATATCAACCCGGCGGCCAAGAGAAACAAATACACACAAACAAAAGGAACAGGCA